ACGTACTTCTTTGACCATTTCGCGGTAAGCTTTAAACTTTCACGGCGAAATTCAAAGGATTTGCTTTCCATTTGGCACGCCATATTTTGCCAAAACCTCCTTCGCCAAGAGGCTCGCAAATCTTGAATTCTCCGTAATCAAATAATTTAATGTTTTCCTTTTATGGCTGTTTCTAGCCAATCTTCCCGATCTTCAGCACTCAAATTTCCCATTCAATAAATGGTAAGGAAGGGTGACGCTTGAAAGATTATAACATTTAATCTTCCAATTGCCAATTTCAAATGTCATTGTGCTTTTTCAAGTACCCTAGCCATGGCGAAAAAATTTTTGATCTGCTGGTGACACAAATGCGTAAATTTTTGATCAGCCCGGCAAAATGAAAATGTAAAAAATACGGGGGAAACACTAAAACAAGATAGTGGATTAACGTTAAGGATTAAATCAACTCGAATAATTATTCGGATTTACTTAATACACATGACCTCTGTAACATATTCAATGATTGGCTGAATTATGCATAACATTATTGCTATCAAAACAAAAACAAACTAATATTTTTGTTTTGTGATTTGGTTCAACAAAATTCTGGCTGGAACCCTCACCAATGAAAAGAAACATCAAATACTTACTAACAACTAGTGATCCTGGTCGATAATCGAAAAATTGACTGGTTGATTTTTCGACTTAATTGACTGACTGATTGATTTTTTGTATAACATACTAAAAAAAAGAAATGATAAATCATATATCATGATAAAAAACACGAAATTTTGACATATAATTTTAAAGAATTTGTCAAATATCCCAACAAAATTTTCATTATTATAATAGTTCTAATGGTGAATTTTCACCAAATATTATTGAAACAGACGAAACAAATTAATATAATTATAGAATAACACCTACATATTCATATTTATCACCATCACCAATAATTTATGACGCGTTTTTAGAAGAGCCAATGGCTAATTCTATTCAAAATACAATTATACAAACTTCAGAACCTATATGAGCAAATATCAACATTAATAAAAGATCTAAATCAGGAAAAAGTTGGGTATGGAAAGATAAACTCAACAAAAAAATTAAATGTCTCATTTGGAGTAATATTAATAATGTTCTTAAGCAATGTACACGTTTTTTTGAACTCTTTATTATCATTAAGTAATGCAATTTTTTCAATGTGATTTCAAGATGTCACGTTATCAATACAATCACAACCAGCTCAACTAGATCCTTTACAATCAACTTTACAAGAAGTAATCAAATATAAAGTATTATTATCAAATAAAAAACAAGATCACTTCTCGTATATTAACATGAATAGTTGATAATATGCAATCTTTTAATATTTTAAAAAGTGAATGATTTTAAGATATTTTATATAAAACTGATTCACAATTTCATTTTTCCAGTGAAGATATATTCAAATAGAAATTACATCAAATAGTAAACTATTCAGAGAATTATTTAAAAGATTTCATTAATAATATTTTGGAATCTTGTGCATTTATAACTGATTTGTGAACTAAAGCATATAAGTCATACATTGAAATTACTGTATATTAACTCACTTTTGAATTTGAAATGTACAAAATTTTTCTTACAATTAATAGCTTTTCATATCCACATATATATAAACACATTGAAGATTATCTGTGCAAAGAACTAGCAAATGGGAATTAAATAACAAATATTTAGCAAGAATAAAAAATAATATTAGCTTAATAATGAAAACAATGAGAGATTTTGAAATTTTACATATTTAATGTATTGTTTATATTATTCAGCTTGAAATTATGAATAGCTTGAAGAAAACAACTGATTTAATTAGCTATGCAAAAGTTCTAAATGTATTTCTTGTTGGAAAAGATAAATATTGAAAATGATTATAATTAATACAACTTGAAATAGCTAAAGCAAACAATCTATTACTTAAAGATAAAAATATTTTAGTATTAGATTCAATATCAAATAATATTATAACTTAATGAAATTTAACTTATCTATTACTAAGTTAACTACTTGATCTTTATAAAGTTATAAAAATATTACAAGAAAATCTAGTAAAAGACAAAGAAAGAAAAGTTAAAATGATATAAAAAAATAGACAAGTTGTTTCTTAATAATGAAAATTATTTAGAAATTGGTTAAATTTAAAAATGCTTGCTGAAATCTTTTTAACAAATGCTAAAATGCCAAAATTCTTATTATAAATAATAATTATTATTGTTAAAATAACATAGTAATACTGAAATGGTATAGTAAATAAATTTTAGCATAATAAATAATTTTGATATTGTCAAAGAATTTTAGCATTATCAAAGAATTTTGGTATAAGTAAGTAATTTTGATATTATTAAAGTAATATAATAAATAAATTTTGATATAATAAATAATTTTAGTATTATCAAAAAATTTTGGTATAAGTAAATAATTTTAATATTATTAAAGTGATATAATAATATTAAAAAGATATATTAATAATTTTATTTGAAAGTTTTTTTAAGTATATCAAAATTTTTTATTTAAAATATCAAAATTTTTATTTATATTGTCACCATTTTCAGAGTCATTACCTATGATAATATTTTTGAAATATGATGAGTGAAAGTGTTCAATTGAAAGATCAGACTACTTAATTATCAAAACTTATAATTTAAATATCAAATAATAAAATAACAGAGTTGGATATAATTTCAACAAAAAACTTAATGAAAATAAATATGATAATTATCAAAGCTTTCCTAAAGTACTAATCAATAATAGTTATATAAAAATGCAAATATGAATATAAAAATAAAATAATTTAAATATAAATATTGTCTCTCTTAGACCAGTAATACAAAAATAAAATAATATAATATCTTCCTAATATATTTTTTAACGTAAGGTATAAATCTAACGGCAAACCGTGCTCGTCAATTGCTTTTTTGCGGATTGAACTAACCACCAAGACAAAGTATCGAGCCATCAATAAGATGATCATGCCCTTTCGAACACACGACATACTAAATATACCCAACACAATACTTGGATGGCTGACCAATCAGTTGCTATTGCAAAGACACGAAAAAGTAACTAACGAGACGGTCTGTGCTAAGTATTTATCAAAAAAATAACAATGTACCCGGCTTGGGTCGAAAGTGACGCACGGCGAAATCTCTGACTCGACGATAATATGGACGTATGCTCATTTCGCTCAGCTGGTAATGTTGATTTTTGTTCCTTATTAAGCCTACGTTTTTTATTGTAGCGAGCACTACGTGACAATTTCTTGGACGACATATTAATATGGGAATGAAAAAGGGTTCGTGGTGGAGACAAAAGACAAAAGCAACACTATTCGACGAGCCATTAGGATTTTTACTCCTAGGGCCGAGTCTAGCTCAAGAAGAATAGCAGAAAAAAAGAAAGGAGCGTGCAATACGTAAATCAGGTATTATATGATTGGACAAATTGACAACTTTATTAAGTAGGAATTTAGACGTGACATCGATGTCACTGGCGCAGTATCATACTAGCAATAAAAAAATCGACATACCTTTATTATAACACGCGCGTTAAGCAACAAATTTCTCAAATGTCAGAGCCTAACACTACACAGGATACGATTCTCATTCCACCAAATCTTTATTATAAAGGTGAGTTGTCCCTTTTTATGTCGACTATAGCACGCAAAATATCCTAGACTGCTTTGTAACTTCCGATTTGCAGAGTACTGGCTAAATACCAGCTTTCAGGATTGGTCTGTTGAGTCGTTCGATATATTTTGGATCCAACAAAATCCAACTCTCCATCAAAGCAAGATCGAGCCCATACTTCGTTAGCTACCGAGTCGAAAATTCTCTCTGAAGCATCTGATCAAAGGGTGGCAGAAAAAGCGTTGTTGTTACATAAATTATTAAAGGTTAGTTTATTGTGAAAGAAAGAACGTCAGGCAAGACTGTTTGTCAGCTTTTAACTACGCCCCTCGGTGCTTTCGAGGAAGGTTGGGTGCTTTCTAACCTGATGGGGAAGAGAAGCGCGATGGCTTCACTCACTATGTGATTCTTTCGCGTGTACATCCTGCTTGCAGAC